AATGCATACAAATTGTATTCGATTGCGTTTTGGAACAATGCGTGCTTACTTTTTATTTGTCTCATTTGTTTTTATTATACTATAGTAGAGAGTATTTTCATGTTGTTGCAATTGTTACAACTTTGATCAAATATGTAACTTTGTCGGCCGGGTTAGACCAATTTTCTAGATATTTTGAGTATTAGCTTCCTATGTGTGCGCAATATGAGAAGAGTCTGCTAAATATCTTTTCAAAGTCCATTTCCTCTTAGTTCTTTCTCTTTAAAATATAATATTAACAATACATCAGCAAATGGGAATCAAATATAACTCAAAAAGTACCCAAATTTACAGCTTTTGTTTCAAAGCACTTCCAAACTCTATTTCTACAGTATATTCAATCCTTGACCGACTATCAGCGGTTGATAGTTATGCCCTCTAGCTTTTATTATGTCTATTTTGCTACCTTTGCCAAACATTGATCGATCTCTTTCGCCAGCCGACTCTTTCTCCCTTTCTCGACTTCGCCCACATACGTTTATGTGTCCGTCAATCAACTAACCAAATATTTACTTTGGCTATTTGCCAAACGTTTCTCGTCAACCGTACACAAAAGACAATTGCAAATATTGTTATTGGGTATTTGTGAAAAGCGCTAAGCAGTTAATCAAACCGAGTTGCAATTGCACATTTCAAATGTCGAAAGACCAAAGAAAAAGATCACATATTTGTGTGGCTATAAAATAATTATGGTTTTCTGACATATGACAAACTATAAAGAAACATATCTCGCACGATCTGTCGCAGACTACATTTCCTATTGCCTTTTTACCTAGGCAAGATTGCGAGTAGGCGGCTGTTTGCCAGCATTAAACAGTTTTTTATGGGAACGGGATTAAGATCAGAAAGGTTATCATGATTCAACTTGTGCAGTAAAAACATGTATATAAAAAATACATTTATATTTAGACACGCTCGAGTAGCTATATAACAAATATATACACTATTTATTATATATATACGTATGTTTATATAAGATGTGCAATCTCCGCATTCATTCAGAATATTTGTGTACCCTGAACCTAATGACAATGATTAAGAAGTGTATTATGCTTTTGTGTGTTTGCAAATGTATGCGGCAAAAGGACGCATCTGACCCCAAAAAGGGCACCTTGCTAAGTCAATCTCAACATGTCAACCTTTCTATTTGAACGCTTCGACCTCGGAAATTTTAAAGGTAGAAACTTTAATGTCGATACATATCGATGTGGATAATATTAATATTTATCGTTGGAAATATTATCGTTATTATCGATAAATATATATTTTGATATCGATAAATATAGATTTTAATAATATGATGCTATAGTTACAAATAGTTCATTTTTTTTTAATATCTTTACTATATTCCATAAATCTAAAACGAAATCAACTAGTTTTTAAATTTCGATCTTTGTGCTTTAGTTTATACACATTTTTGTATGCCATTCGAAAAGTATGGAAAATTTCATAAAAATCGAATTCTAATTAACGAATTTAATCAAGACTACTTTACGTATAGATAGTGTGGGGCTAGAAGAAGAAGCACAGTCGCTGCGGAAAGTTCCCAGCTTGCGTGTGAGCTTGTGTGTGAGTAATAATCTTTGTAGCACCAACTTGGCGCTTAATGGAGGGTATTTTCCAGCCGGTATCTCCCCATGAAAACACTCTTACTTGTTTGCCCATTTGCTCAATTTAAAATGCGCTGCGATTGAGAAATTTAACGCGAATTGCGTGCAATTATGGACCCACATTTGATAGACAAACGTCACAGAATCAGATCAGAAACAGAACGTTGCACTGATTTATTTGTACACATTGCGTAGCACATGAAACGCAATTTCAATTTGCAATTGTTGCTGCAATTGCGACAATGTTATTGATGGACAGGCCAGTACTTGGGGCTCGAGTGCCCGACGGTTGATAAGGAGACCTTTGGAGTTTCAATTGCAGCAAACGTCACGCATTGAGCTACTGTCGAAGTAAATACTTGCAGATGTGTTGTTGGTAAACTTTTACTCATGATACCCATTCATTGCAGTCAGGTGTTAAAGCCCGCTAATACCGGCTGATAACAACACGCGTATTTGCTTATATTGCTTTTATTTTTAAATTTATCTTTCATAATATTTAAATGACAGGGCAGCAGAGCGCACGAGAGGTTGTAAAACGTGCAGTCAGGAGATATATATATATATATATAGAGGGAGAGAGAGAGAGAGACAGCGGGAGAGAGTGTGGGCCCACTTATTTTTTAAGACGCTAAACAATTCTAGAGACTGAAGCTGTTTTTTATGCTCGCCTCGCTCACACGCTGGCTGCGGAGGATTTGCTAATTGCGGTTCGCCTCTCTAGGGTCTCTCGCGTCTAAAAATGGGCTTTTGATTTACGCAAAATTTATATATATATGCATATATGTTCACAATGTGGATACACATATATAAATATTTGCCTATGGCACTCCAATGCTCAGATTGACATTGACAGTGGAGCTGTCACTTTGTGTACAATACCCTGCGATCGTTAAACATCAAAAACGTTCGGAGTTCTATCTTATACCAGAAATATTGCCGTGCTTAAGATTTGCCTACATATTTATAGCATAATATTGTCAGAATGAGTCGCGAGTGCTTTGATCGGTAAATATCAAAAATAAACTTCCATGAAAAAGTTTTCAGTATACATTTGTGGTTATAAAAATAATTTGGACTGTGCTTTTTGACAAATTACGCAAACTTTGGCATCCAGTTTGACCTTCAAATGAACAAAAAAAAAAAACAAAAGCATGGAATTAGAGAAAATTTGAGATCTTCTTTCCCCAAAAAAATAACCATAATGTTTTCAACTGGCCAAAAAAAAACTAACGCTTTAAATATTAAGCGGGAGTGTTTAAATATTTGAATATCCTTAACCTTATATTTTATTGTGTCTGTTATTTATGTTGTTCAGTTCTTTAACAATTAGTCTTGAGCCTTTCTAAACCATTATAACGACTAAAGGACTCGTTTGACTTCCCTATTTCAGCCCCAATAATATCAGAAAAGTGTCTCTTTTAGTCGCCTCGTACGACAAGCAGTGACATACTGTGGTGGTTATTCTAGAGCCCGCCAACCACACGGGTGAAGTGAGAGTATCATATATGTCATACATATGAGAATATTCCATATGTGTCATACATATGCGACTCTCGTAAGTATTCTTATAAGTAGTATATCATTACTTACATATTTATCTGATACTCTCAAATATATCTTATACTCTCATATATATTTATGTATGATATTATATACGACAATTTTATAGACCCCTCAAGGATATTTTTCTGTACGACATCAATAAAATTCAGGGCGTTCCCATAGAAAGGAGGCCTCAATGGGGCTACTCCCGGCACAAGTTTCAAACTTTGACAACAGTTTTTAGGCCTTGGTCAGACATGAAATAAATTTAGGTTACAGAATCTGTTCTGACAGCAACAGAGCAGCAGATCTACTTCCACAAAGTAGTTGCGCATTGTACACAAATGAGTCAAAATGTAGAAGCAACACCCGTGGTAGATAAGATGTGTGTATGTCTGCGTGTGGATGAAAGATCAAATTTAATTGAAAGGCTTTTGCATGGATGGCCGGCTGCTAATGCTCGAGCATGATTGATGGACTTAATTTGATATTTTGCGGCCAACCCAGGCGCCAATCTCCTATGACTGTTAGCCAACAGTTCGATTAGTTATCAAAAAAATAGAGAGGAACAACAAACAAATTTAGTTGCTGGCATTTGCTAATTAAACGCTAACCATTTGGCATTTCAGTTGTTTGAAGGTGTTCAAAATGAAGGCATCGACATTGGATAAAATTAGCTGCTTCCTGGCCGAGCTGCTGGGCACAGGCATTCTGGTCTTCCTCGGCTGCATGGGCTGCGTGAAAACGGACATTTTTCCCAACAATCATTTGCAAATAGTTCTCAACTTTGGCTTTGCGGTTCTCATTGCCATCCAATGCTTTGGCTGTGTGTCCGGTGCCCATCTGAATCCCGCCGTTACCGTGGCGGCCTTTATCTATGAGCTGGTCACTTTGCCCATGGCCTTTGTCTACTTTGTTGGCCAAATGTTAGGTGCCTTCATTGGCTACGGCCTACTCAAGGCCTTGCTGCCATACTCAACAATAAATGTGCCCAATGGCCTTTGCGTTACACTGCCCCATGCCGAAGTCTCCAGCCCGCAGGCCTTTGGCATTGAGTTTGCGGCCACCTCGATTCTGATCATTGTTTGCTGCGGCGTCTGGGATCCGCGCAATGCCAAGCATCATGATTCCGTGGCCATTCGTTTTGGTCTGGCCATCGCCGGTTTGGCCTGCGCAGCGGTAAGTTGCAGTCTGTGCCGCACTGCTGCAGTAATTATCTACATCATATATTTTACTTGTGGTTTACAGGGTCCCTTCACTGGCGCCAGTATGAACCCGGCCAGGTCCTTTGCGCCAGCGCTCTGGAACGGCAATTTTGATGCCCACTGGATCTACTGGTTGGCACCGCTAAGCGGTGCTGCCGTCACTGCCATTGCCTACAAGGCCGTCTTCCGACGAGAGGTTGTCGAGGCGCAGATTATGTCTGAAGAGAAACTGCGCCAGTTGGAGGATGTTCAGCTCTCATAGGCCAATGTGACACAAGTGCCAAAACTGCTCTGTGCTGCTCTTTCAGTGCATGGGCAACCACTTAAACAAATCTAACTAGTTATAAGCTAAGATCAATATGGACGAATTTTATATTAATACAAATGTTTGTGTACTAATATAAAGCTTCGATAAATAAAGCACATAGACATTTTTTCTATCTCAAAAACTCGTTTTTTGTACTCTTAATGTTAATGAATTTTCAAGATATATATTATTGGTATTATTAGATAATTTTTCAAATAAACTCAAAAGTTGTGACCATTATTTTTGCATGCGGAAGATAAAAACCATGAAGGAGTTGGCTCATATATAATTGAATACTCAGATCATACGAAAAATTATATATTTGGATGATGAGTTCGAATTATCATTTGAATACTACATTCAGTATTGGCACTTCTAAAATTGCTAAAACGCGTATTCAATAAGTTCTTCTTCTTTGAACAAATTAGTAAAATAAATTTAAATTAAGAAATCAGCGAATATAAGTGCGATGTCCAGAAACTCTTGAATTGATAGAAATCTCTAGACAGAAAAAATAAGTTGCAGTAATACAGACAGACCATTTGCCAGACTGAGATTGTGTGAACAGAGTCGCCTACAACTATCATTGCCAACTATACAATGTGAAGGTGGTTATATCGCTTTGGGTCTCAGTCTTAATCCAAGTAAAGTGGATTGGGGTCGCTGATTAACTGCAATAATAGCATGTACCCTGTCACTTCAATGTGCCAGTCGTTCGTAACGGAGGCGCCTCAAAGTAGGCCAGCATTGGGCGGCGTTTCGCTGTCATTAATCAAAAGTACTTAGCGGCCATTGCGATATTGGCCAAGCCAAGGCGCCATATTCGCAGCTGTTGACCATCTTAGTGAGATAAGGTTGAGCATTAAATGCCACGCCGTGTGGCAATTCCAGTTAAACAGCGATCCACACTGGAAATTCTGGCTGGGTAGACCCCATTTAAAGAGTTCCAAACATGATTAATTAATTATTAATTTGGTTCTGGGCTTGACTCGACGAAGACAATACCAAATGGCGTAGGTTGCCCTATCTAGGCAAAATAAAAATATCCGCATAATAATTAGCATTAAGGTTTTATAATTCATATTGATTGATTAGGGCCAAAATTTCAAAGTCGAAACCTTGCGCTGGTCGGGGCCCGCTGCTACCACGAGCAGCCAGCCCAACCAGCCCGCTCAGTTGTATTTGGACAGTATGTCGCAGCAGAGGTTAAGGATCAGCAATTCCAGTCCCGGCTCGAGATGGAGATATCTGAGGTTGCGTTCGGAGCACAGATCGCGAATAGCTGCCTTTTTTGGCGAGCTGGTGGGCACGGCCACTTTCATATTCATCGCCTGTATGGGCTGTGTGACCACGCCCATATTCCTTAACTCCCACTTCGAACTGAGCCTAAACTTTGGTCTCGCCATACTGATTGCCATACAGAGCTTTGGCGCCATTTCGGGCGCCCATCTGAATCCGGCCATCACACTGGCCGCCTTAATCTATGGCGCTCTTGGTTGGGCCATGGCAATTGCATATTTGGTGGCCCAGGTGGCAGGTGCTCTCATCGGTTACGGTTTGCTGAAGGCCGTGTTGCCCCTGAATGCCATCATTGGTGTGGACGAACCGGCTGGTGTCTGTGTCACGGTTCTCAGCAGCGACATTTCGGTGCTTCAGGGCGTCTTCATTGAGCTACTAATCACCAGTTGCCTGACAATGGTCGCCTGCTCGGTGTGGGATCCACGCAATGATAGACTCAAGGATTCGGTGCCGATACGTTTTGGCCTAACAGTCGCGAGTCTCAATTTGGCAGCGGTCAGTATAAAGCACGCAATTCTAAGTTGGCCAGATTGCAATTTCAATTGAATTTTTAACAGGGCCTATTCACCGGCTCAAGCATGAACCCGACACGATCCCTAGGACCTGCTGTGTGGAACAATTCCTGGCAGCATCACTGGATCTACTGGGTGGGTCCTTTAGTGGGTGCCGCACTCACTTCGCTTATCTACCGATTTGCTTTCAAGGGTCGCAGCGATGAAGTAATTGAACTCCGCAGTTCAAATGCCAAAATACAATTTATTGATAAGGTTTAGAGGTTAGGCTGAAGCTTTAGAAGCCATATTATTTTTTAAGTTAACCCTAAGTTTAATAAACTATTAACTAGTTCATGAACATCGCATAGAAAGGCGGCATAAAGGAGAGGAAACAAAAAACAGCTGAGAGAGACGGTAGAAAATAGCGAGGAGAAACTGTGTCCCTATGCGAGAAACATAAATAAAAAGTGTCTCAAATACTAAAATTTAGACAGAAAAAAAACATTTTAAAAAGTTCTGAACTCACTCGAGGTTATGAAAATCGCATAGAACGGCGAACCGAATCTGTAGGGTAAGAGTGTGACTCATTCGCACATGCAACGACAGGTGGCTAGCTTTCAATGCAAAGCATTTAATTTGTCAAAAATTAATCAATAATTATAAATCTGGGATTTCCAGTTTTTAATAGTCACCCAAAATAATAAAAAAAAATAAAGAATAGCGATTATCAGAGATGTCGGTACTAAGTTTACTAGCTACTTAGCGTCATGACTAAGAGACTTGGCTCCACAGCAGTAAAAATAATAATAATCAAACAGACATCAGCTCGTTCATCGACTTTTAATATTAATGATAACGTTCTGATCAAGTTAAAGACCTTTAACAAATTGATAGTCGGTAACGCCACATGACTCTACACCTAAAACTGAGCTTTGAACTGCACTTAATACAGAATTAGCTGTCGATTCTTCTGATAGCAAATATTCAATAAAAGTTAAATTTGGTATTTGGTGCAATGACAGCTAGCGCCAAGGCTTTAATTTTAGTTATGAGGGCACATTGCAGATGGAAGAGAGGAAATGTGCAAATATATAAACCTCATAGCCTTGCGAATTATTTTTTAAAAATATTCCTTGGAATGCAATCTACTCTTACTACCACTAAATGAGCTTTTTTTGTAGAATGCATTATTAAATACCTAAGTGTTTGATTTAATGGGAAATTAAATTTGGTTAAAAAAAAACTTAGCCATAGTTACAACATTTAAATTATAAAACAATCTTTATATAGGTCAGCTTAAGTTTAAAATCTATCCTTGAGAACCTACGCATTGTGTAATAAAGATTGTTTTTTTTATAAAGTCTGGACGCCAATTTTGCTCCAATCACGCAGCGTGATTTTTATTATTTATTAAAAGTACTACAGTAGTAGAGTAGAAGATGTCCACAGACGCCGACTACCGAATACGCTATGCTCCGCGCTAAATAATAATTTGAATTATAATTATTTTATATTTGATTTGTCGACGTTCGCCAAGAACCCTGAAGGAATCTACATGCTCAAAAAGCTTCTGAAAATCGATAGCTATCGATTATGGGGAAGCAAATTTATTTTAGTTGCTTATAAATAGTTAGGGTAACTAGCAGTCGATAGCTTTCGACTAGAGTATTGTAGTTTGTTTTTACCATTTGGATCTAATGGATTTGGTGCTCAGGAATGTTGCTTCGCATAAGTGCATGTCGAAGATTGCAATCAATATTTGAGGTACACGGCACTACCAATAAAATACACTTTCAACATGTTGGTCTGCCATAAAAAATATAAATATTTAGCAAAGTTCTCAGCAGTAATAAATAAATACGCATATAAGTAACAGAGTCAGCTGATAATTGGCTTTAGCGTTTGATAATTTGATAATTGATAATAGCCATTGTTGAAGATTAGTGGCAATTCAAAGTCGCCAGCATGGACGCGATTTCTGAGAGAGAGTTGAGTAGCTCTGCAAGTACCTGTCAATGGGTCGAGTGACAAAGCTAATCAGCCAACGACAACAAGCGAACACGCACAGTGTCCCAAAGTTGCTTCTCCCTATGAGTATTTGATTCAAAATTTCCACACATAAAAGCTCTATTAGAGGTCATACTCAGTTTCAAGTGATAGCAAAATTCCCTATTACGAAATCCACTGCGACATTCAATTTAAAATCTGTAGAACATTAACAAAAGTTATGAACGATTTCCACTTGATAAAAACTCTTTAAAATAGTAGCCCAATCCGTCTACGGATTAGGCATATCAAGTGTGTACGGCATAAGTCTTATAGATTCCCAAACGGAGAGGTTTCCGAGGAGCAGATAGCGGCTCTTTTGAAGATAATTAAAGAGACTGTCAGCGGATATACGAATCGAAATGGGATTGTTAGTAGGCATTGCCAAAGTAGGTACTAGTAACGCGTAATATTATATACGTAAAGAAAATACAGCCCGAAAATTTGTGTATTTAAGCACCACATTTGATTTTGTTGATCTGTATACGTGGGCTAACATAGCATCGTTTTAATTTCAATACCTCAAAGGATATTCTCTGCCAATTGTAATAATATTTGAGAAAGAGAAAGAATGCAACTTCATGCAATGGAATAAATCGAGAAAACGGACGGAATTTAATAACTTATTTACGCTTTCCGTAAAAAATGCTATGATATCTTGCGCGGCCGGTTGAAACCACTGTGCAAAGCCATAGTGCACTCTCATAATCGTCTCTGACGTGGAGGCTCAATTCAGTTGCGTGCTGTGCGTCGGGGTAAAAAGTTGGTGGTCCGTAATTTTTACATACGTGTAGCTACTACCATTATGGCCGAAGTAAACAGGAGCCGAAGGCAGGTGCTGCTGTTGCTTTTTAGTGTGATTTAAGTCTAATCCTTTGCCAATTCTTACAACTTTTGCAGAAGTCTGATTCTGGACAAGGTATGCATCATCTTTGGCGAACTGACTGCGACGGCCTTCCTAATATACCTTGGCTGCATGGGCTGTGTGCAGACCACTGTGATCGTCAACTCGCACGTCCAGATTGCAATTAGTTTTGGATTTGTCGTGTTGATCTGCATTCAGTGCTTCGGTTGTGTGTCCGGTGCGCATCTCAATCCCGCCGTAACATTGGCCAGCTATGTGTACAGGCAGATATCGTGGCCGATGGCTCTGGGCTTCTTCGTGGCCCAAATGCTAGGTGCCTTCATTGGATATGGACTGCTGAAAGCATCATTGCCCGACAATTTTATCTGCAGCACGATAACCCCACAGGGTGCCTGTCTGACCACCGTCGCCAGCGGCGTCGCACTATGGCAGGCTGTCCTTATCGAGTTCCTGATCACCTGTGTGCTGATCACTATCTGTTGCGGTGTTTGGGATCCACGTAACGCTAAATTCCAGGACTCGGTGCCCATACGCTTTGGTCTGGCCATTGCGTGTTTATCTTTAATTGCGGTGCGTATTTAACCCCTCAACCGCTCAACCATTAATCCTCTCCCAGACACGCCTATCTCTATGACATTGTATACTAATTGACTCTCATTTATATCCACATGTATTATAGGGTCAATTTACGGGCGCTAGCATGAACCCAGCCCGTTCATTCGCCCCAGCCGTATGGAACAATGCCTGGGAGAATCACTGGGTCTACTGGGTGAGTCCCTTGGCTGCGGCTTTGGTCACATCGCTTGTCTACAAGCATGTTTTCCGGCGCCAGGTAAACGACGCCCAAAAATCATTCGATCGTAACGAGTCGCTGTCGTAGGAGACAGCATTGATAAACTTAAAAAGTGTTACGTGAATAGGTCTAGCTATATTTAAATTTGCAACTGAATTCGATATAAACAATAATGGTACAAATTACCAGAGCTGCATGGTTTGCCGGCACAAGTTCGGGGTTTCTACTAAAACAGAAATATAATGCCGAAAAGTAAACTACAAACTCCGAACTCAAGCCAGCCTATCATCCAGCCAGACATTAGAAAGGTCGCCAAAACAAATAACAATTTATAGATATGTATGCCGTATGGCCTAAGGGCAATAAAATAAACCAGTTTAATGAAAATTCCTACCTTTGCGTGTTGCGAACATCTCTTGAATTGGTTCCGTCAGAAATTACAGCAGGCGACAAATTATTCTGCTCAATAAAAGCTTGTTTGGGCCTTGGGTTTGTGGTAAGTAGTTATACAATATACTGCTGACAAAAGCAGGGCTCAGTAGATGAGCAGCCTGAGTAACCCACTCATTGAGTCTCATTGTGTTCCAGGTGAGTGTTTGTCTGCCTCAGCCAATTTCCACATTTGCGAGTGTTATAAAGTACATAGGTAAAAATAAATAAAAAACCAAAAACAACAAAACAGGGTTAGATTAATAGTATAACAATATTCCATACTGTTAACTGTATCCCAAGGAATAGAAGCCATAGAATTAAAATATTAGATGCCTTGCAACAAATCTTGAAAAATTTTCCATTACAGCTGGAACTCAACATGATGCTATTTTAAATTAGATAATTGTCGAATCTTATCTAGTTGGTTGATGTTACAATCATTTCTGTCACTGTTAAGTTATAAATTATTTTTAATAAGTTGTATTAGCAAAGATGATAAACTAAGCGACGACAGTCTTGCATTTACGCAGATAAGCACATTTTAAATTTATCGCAATTCCACATGACAACTTGTTAGCCGTTGGCCTTTGTAGAACCCTTGATTTAAATAGAACTGGCAGGGAACCAACTAATTGCTGCTAAATGATCGCAACGAGTTGATAAATAAGTACATCAATGCAGAGATCTACTTATATTTGTAAAGTATATAACATATTTATTTTGACAAGCATCATTCTTATGGGCTGAGATACAATTCTGATGCGTGCCTCTCAGGAGTTTCAATCTGTAGGGGCCGATAATTCGGTGTGTAGGCAAATATCCATAGCTGTGGTATAATGATGGAAGCCAGCATTTGACCGCCTAGCTGGAGCAATACCGTTTCTGGATTTCCCTTGAATAGTGTGGGAATAAGTATCTTTGCCGGATTCATTGAGGCACCCGTAAGGTGGCCCTGCAAATGGGTTTCTAAAAACTATACATATGAAAAAGGTAACAGTCTACGTACGCCTGCCAAATTACAAACGGTCACCAGGCAGCCCATTCGTAAGGTGACCGAGTCAAGAAAACGTCCGCTGCGCACATCCCACAGTGCACTCCAGGCGAGGATCAGCACCGATGTTAGAAAACCCTCAATACTCAGGATCTGTATACTTGAAAGACTATTCATTGGCTCCACCATGCAAACGCCCTGTTTGCAAGCATCAAGCAAGCCTTGTGACAGCATCTGCAGCAGCATAAAATATCCAAATGCAGCTCCGGCCAGCTGGCAGGCAATATAAACAAACATCATATTGGAGCCAATATAGCCCAGTAAACAGCATGCAATCGAAACGCAAGGATTGGCATGTGCGCCTGATATAAATCCAAAGATGTGCATGACCACAACTGTGGCCAATCCATAGTTCAAGCTTGAGATGAGATTTCCACTGGCACCCTGATCGCGCACGCTGCAACCCATGCAGCTGATAACCATGAACAAGGCGGTTGCGCTGAACTCGCTGAGTCCGCGCATAATTGTAAAACTATTAAACAACATTTTCGACAAATGCAACATACAATTTGGTAAAGGCAAGAGAAAAGTTTTATAGAAATATGTATGTGAACTGCTGAAGTCGAGATAGGGGTCTTTATAAAAATGTTTACCGAATGTTTTTGTCAAGTTTAAATATTATTTAGCTTCTGAAAATTTGACAGCTTTGTGAGTTTCTTGTGTTTTACAAGATATGTCACAATTGGAAACACTCGCCTAATTGCTCTTATAAGTCAAATCAGGTGCCCAAGCAAGTAATTCGAATGTTGTTACAGTATTGGACTCCTGCGGTTCAAATATTGTAGCGATTTAACAATATTCTTTAAAATATTGCCAAACCTTAGACAGATAAAAGTAACGGAAACGTGGGCTAACAGGAAAAAATTCAAATTTTCAGAAATTTACTCACTGCAGCCGTTTTTAAAGGTGACCATACACTTCCAACGAGAAACAAATCATTTAGAATACCAAAAAAAATAACAGTAATGAAAATATGGTCACTCTAGATTGCACGAGTGATGCCACATCGCTGTAGTTAAAACAGAGTGGCAATTGGAGCAATACCTGCAGACACGTATTTATTTATATTAGATGTTTTTTATATAAATTGCACTCTGCCTAAATTAAGTAAACAACGCAGTAAACAACAAGCGCAGCAGCTGTCTAACAATGTTTGCCAATCTGAAAAATAAACTCATCGAGGAGGTGAAAGCGTCGCCGTCCAAATTCCAACAATTTGCAAATGCAGCCCAGGCAAGTAACAAAAAAGTGCAAATTAATAAAAACATACGCACACAAGCAAACTGTTGGCTGTGTGTGCGTGTGTATGTAGGTATGTGTCTGCTTAACGGGCAAAGGGATGCACCCAAACAGCCAGTGCAATTTTCAAAAATTGTTTTATTTGACCCATTTAACAGAAACAAGCAGCTGTGTGCACACCCAACCCCCCAAGCGCACTCATACACAATCACACCGCATGACACACACACACACACACACACGCACACACACACACATACATGACTTTTATCGGTATGCTTTTATAGGCCGCCGTGAGCTCATCGTCCAGCACAACAACACCGAACAGCTCGGAGAATACCGACACCGGCACCAATGAGAATTTCTTCAGCATCACGGAAGAGGGTAACATTTATTAGGATTCATTATTTTCTTTATCAGTGTCAAATTATAATTTGTTACTGCTCTCTACAGACACGCCACAAAACTCGCCTTACCGCCTACAGAAGTTGCCGCGCTACGGACGTGCTTCGACCCAGTCTCTGAATGGCATGGGCGGCAGCGGAGCCATACCGCGCACCCGCAAGCTATCGAACTCGTCCATGGCAAGCGATGTCTCGTTTCGCCTGCCCACCTATGATGCGCCACCGGTAAGTGCGTGTAAATTGCAAATGTGTCTCACTAGAACACCGACTAACTCTACTCTATTTACACAGACGTATCACTTGCAATCGGATTTGGATGAGACGAGCAGCGAATTTGATGACTCCGCATCGACGGCACGCCTGGATGTTATCACTAAAGATCAGCTATACGATGCGTATAAGAAATCGCTCGACCGCTATCATAAATACCGCTGCCGTTACACGGATCTGGCCAAGAAGTACAAGGAACTGGAGCGAGACAGCAGCAAGGCGAGGGTATGAGAAACAATGGGAAAAAGGAGTCTGAAACTTTGCAGACAAGTTTATAGAATTGTGTCAATTAGAGCTGTATTCAAGCTTTGTCTAAATAGATCTTCCAATATCAAGTTCTGTTCGCACGCTTTAGGTAGCTTAAGGAAATAGAAACGAATCTCCAATATTATTTTCAGTTGCATGTATTATAGTACCAGCTTATATATTTGAGTTTCATTTTATAATCTCTGCGAAGTAACTCGAAATTCCTTTCAAGACAAGTGTCAAGTGTCTAAAGATAAATATATACTTTTTGGGTTCGCAAGTAGCTTTTGACAATAATAATACCGTCTGCAAAGGATCTTTATATTCTTGCAACATTTCGCCAACTGCAAGCCCCTCTAACCACATATCTCTTTCAGTCTGTGCTTGTGGAGACGCAGGATAAAGCGCTGCGTCGCATCAGCGAGTTGCGTGAACAATGCACCCTGGAGCAGCAGGCGAAGGCACATCTGGAGGAAGCTTTGCGCATCGAAATGGATGACATGAGCTGCAAGATGCAGGCCTACCAAACCAAGCTGAAGCTACTAGGCGAGAATCCGGATAACGTGACCGCCGCACTGGAGCGCGGCCAGGCGGACAAGCTGATTGATCTTGAGGAGCCAATAATAGTTCCTGAGTCAGCGCCAACTGCAAATGGCAGTCAACCTGCACAGGAGCTGGACGAAGAACTGGCGAAGCTTAGGCAATCGCTGGCCGAACATGAGGCACAGTTAAAGCAGCTGAGCAAAACCAATGAGGAGGCCAACAGCACAATTGCTGCGCTGCGTAAGCAGGAGGAAGAGAATGTGCTGTTGCTGGCACAGACCAAACAAGCTATACACACTGAGCTGGAGCATAAGGAAGCCGAAGTGCGCCAACTGCAGGAGAAGGTTAAGCAGCTAGAAATTGAATTGGACACGGCCAATGGCAGGGAAACGCAGTCGGTTGACATCAAGGAGCAACTTAAGAAACTACAAAGCGCCAAACAGGAAGTTGACGCTAAACTCATTGCAACGGAGCATGTGCTAAGCACACTGAGAGTGGAGCACACGGAAAAGGAGCAACAGCAAAAAAAAATAGAGTCCGAGCTGGCCAGCAAAGGCAAGGAGCTGCAGCAGTTGCAGGAGCAGTTGAAGCAACAAGAAGCTGAGCTGGCTCAGGCAACCAGTCGTGAATCGCAGGCAAAGGACATCGAGGAACAGCTGAAGACGCTGCAGAATGCCAAACAAGAGGCAGAAGCAAAACTTGCTGCAACAGAACTAGAATTAAATGCTCTCAAAAATAACCAAGAAGCAGAACAACAGCAAGTGGCATCGCAGCTTGCGAAAACGACAGCTGAACTGGCGCAAAGAGAAAGCAAACTGCAGCAGTTGGAGGAGCAGTTAAAACAGCAAGAAGCCGAGTTGCAAATGGCCAACAGTCGGGAGACGCAAGTCGAAGCTGTCAAAGAACAATTATTGCAGCTGCAAAATGCCAAACAGGCAGCGGAGGCTCAGTTGCTTACAACGGAGCAATTGTTAAATACACTGAGATTAGAGCACACGGAAAAGGAGCAACTGGCAGCGTCGCAGGAAAAGCAGCTGCAGTCCAAGCTGGAACATAAGGAGAATGAACTGTGCCAATTGCAGGAGCAGCTTACAAAACTAAAAGCAGAGCTCGAAACCGCCAATTCTCAAGACGAGCTCAATGAGCAGCTGCACAACGCCCAACAGGCAGCAGATGCCCAGCTGCTGGCCATGGAACAACAGCTGAACACACTGAAAAACGAGCAGGCGGCAAAGGAGCAACAGGTGGATGCGCTGCAGGAGCAACTGCGCACGCTGAAAACGGACAGCGAGCAGAGTTTGCAGGACTTGCGCCTGCATAACACTCAGCTGAATGAAATTGTACAGCGCTATCAGCAAAATGAGTCGAGCTTGGATGAGCTGCAGAGTCAGCTAGAAGACGCCCGAG